AAGAGCTAGAAGAAGAGCAATTGCTTATATACCCATAAAAAACCTCTTCCTCTTCCAATATGGGACAATGCCCATTTGCCGGGGCGGGGGGGGAGGGGGGGGGGACCTTAAAATTTCACTCAAAAATTTTATTTCCCTCCATTTCTCATTCACCCTCTTTTAAGTATTTAATATATATTAATTAAATACATCCAAAATCCAACAGGCATGTGCCCAATAAAGCTAGGATAAGATAGTATATTCAGGATTAAGTCTGAGACTAAATTTATACTATATTTGGTTGACGGTATAAATTTATCCTATAATAAATTTATACCATCAACAAAATGTAGTATTAATTTAGTACCACACTTTATCCCACCTTATTCCGTGTATCAAACTACCCCGAAGAGTAAAATTATAACTTTGTAAAGTTTATTGGGTTATTAGTTAAACCGTTAATAAGATTGGACAAACTGAGTCCTGAACTGATAACCTAATAGAGCAAATTATGCATAATACCCATTGAGCTTAAAATAATTATCCTTTTCTACCCATTTGAAAATAAGTTACGATATATACCTACCCAATTAAAACTAATTACACGACCTACCTCCTTGGCTTAGCTTAACTTGACTTGATTTTGCTTGGTTTGGCTTGGCTTAATTTGACTTGACTTGGCTTGGCTTTATGGGTATTTAAAATATTTATGGAAGGGGCGGGTAATTTTTTTATGCCACTTGGGTATTTGTAATATATTCCTTACCTGGTAGTCAAATAACACTAAATCATTATCGAATCATTAATTCAATAACCCAATACTGATAACTGAATAATATTTTCCCCGTTCAAGCATCGGTTTTAGCTGAAATATGCGAAGCCAAAAATCTATGTAAGGCGTTTCAAAAAATATAAGAATGTCACACTTCGAATTTGAAGTTTTGAACCTACGATCTAACATAATTTTTTAACCCCTTTTAATTTTACGTTAGAATCTTCTCTTATTCAAAAATCTATATATGTTCGGTGTTTGTCCAGATTTTCTTATCATATTTGGTTTTTCTATTTCTTGAAGGAGAGGACAATATATTAACCATAATTGAGTATAAAGCTCCTTGGCTTGTTCCTTTTCTTAGAGGAAAATGTTTGGATTTCTATAAATTGAGGATCCTTCTTTATCATTTAGCAGCTTCCACAATGTAGCCATAAGGGGTTTGAGAGTCTTGTTTAGGAGGAAAATTTTTCGGGACAAGTGTTAGTGTGTCACTTGTGTTTACCTTTTTGAGAGGTTCTTCTCTCGATATTTTGTACTCTCTATTATATAGTGGATTACTCATCTCCGCCCGTGAATGTAGGTCAAATTGACTGAACTACAATAAATGTTTGTTTCTCTTTTTGGTATATTTTTTTGTTGTTGTCTGATTTATCGTCGTTCAAAATTTGCTTTACTAACTTTCGCATGATACCTGATTATTTCGTATTCTACCCGAGAGCAACGTTATGAGTGACAAAACATTGCACGAAGATAGCCCATAATTAGGGGTGTACAAATGAAATCGACAAACCGCACCAACCCGATAATCCGAGTCAAACCGAGAAAAAAATTCGACTATGGTTTTGTTTGATTTAGTTTGGTATTGGAAAAAAAAACCCGATCATATTTGGTTTCGTTTGGTTTTAACTTTAAAAAGTCAAACCGAAACCAAACAAACCCGACATTATGTGTAGAAGTTTTAAATATATTTAATACATAAAAATATTTATTGTATTGTAGTTTATAATATTTCTTAAACTTTTTCATCATTTTATCTTTTCACGTATTATGTCAAGCTTGGACTTATAATTTCTGGATGCGCCAATAAGTTTTATAGTTCATAAATATTAGTAACTCAAATAAATCCTTAATCAATATCAAATCAATACTAATGCTAATAAAAGATATTCAATTCAATTGTATTATGAATAAAAATAGTATTGGATATTTATTTTTTAGTTTTTTCGTGGTTTAGATAAAACGCATCTTACTTTTCTTTTAGTGTTTAGTCATGTAAATAATAGTACTTACTAGTCGTACTTATTTCAGCAACTTATTAGTAATTTTAAATTATGTTCGTTTTCATTATGGCTTATTAATAATACTTATTTTATGCGATTTTCTTATCTTTATTGTTAAATATTTTAGTACAATGCCATGACTCATCTCATATTTATGTTATTTTATTGAAAAACACCTTATATAGTTCTATCTTACTAGGATTAAAGAAATATTTGGAGCACAAATTCTATATTTTATGCTATAAAGACTTTCTGGAAAAAAACCCGAAAAAATTCGAAAATACGAGAAAAACCGAGATTGAAAAACCCGATTATTATTGGTTTGATTTGGTATTTAGATTTAATAGCCCGATACATTTGGTTTGGTTTGATTTGATAATTAGAAAATCCAAACCAACCGACTTATGTACACCCTTACCAATAATATATATAATTCTCATGCTTTACTTCCTTCTCAACTGATATTTTCCTCTACTAGTCTAGAAGAATCAAGAAAATTCTTCACTACCGAGCAACTACATACAAATCCCAGTACAACGTCAACCAAAAATAAAAAAATTACGTACTACATTTCAATCTCCACTAAAATACAAACCTCATATTCTTCAACCAAAAATATATACAAACCTCATATATATATATATATATATATATATATATATATATATATATATATATATATTATAAGTTAAAAATAATAAATACAACAATAACAATCACCCAGTATAATCCCATAAATGGGGTCTGAGGGGGGTAGGATGTCCGCAGCCTTACCCCTACTTTGAAAGGACAGAAAGATTGTTTCCGATAGACCATCGGCCAAAGAAAGTGAAAGAAGCCCTCATAGCAAGTAATAACAAGAAGTTTGATGATCTAGCTTATTTCAATGAAATTGAATCCTTTTCATGAAAATTCTGGTTCCACTACAATTTAGTATACTTGTTTCTCACTAACTCTTGTGTTTCCACCCCTTAAAGCTCGTTTGATACAAAGGATAGGGAATTATTATTTTCGGGATTAAATTTGAGATGAGTTTATTCCATGTTCGATTGGAAAAAAGTCACAATACAACTAATCTCGAGATTAACTATATACCTAAAATTATAGTATTATTTTAAAAATCCTGGGATAACTACTCTTGAAATAATTAATCCTAGAATAACTTATTTTCTCATCAAGCAACCCCTAACTTAATACTTCTTTTTCATCTAGTCTAGTAGTTTCCAGAGAATTCTTTACAACTAAGCAACACAACAACATGCCAAGTTGCCAACAACCCAAAAAAAAAAAAAAAAAAAAAAAAGAGATTCATTTCAATCTTCACTAAGAAACAAAACCCTTTTTATCAATTTTTGTATATTTATTGTAACAGTTATAAAATAAAAACTTTAAAGTAAAAAAATCGAAGACAAATAGAGAGAGAGAGATATTTATTATTCAACTTCAAATTCATTCATGTATATAATGAACTGAAATCTCCTCTATCTATACAAGAAAGGAAGCTGATGTGTAAGCTGCTACTACAAGTTGTTGTGTAAGCTACTTATAAGCTGTTGTGCAAGCTACTTGTAAGTTGCTTGTAAGCTGCTGTGTAAGCTGCTTGTAAGTTACTTGTAAGCTGCTACTGTACCAGATATAGATAATCTTCTACGGGGGTTAATATTTATCCATAACGGAGTACCGAAATGATAAGCTTCTTCAAGAGGCTTATTTCCAATTCCCAAATAGATAAATATATTTACGGCAGAGTCCTATATGGATAAGCTTCTTCAGGAAGCTTATTTACAACGGAGTACTAAATAAACATCCATAATATAATATATATTTATTACACTCCCCCTTTGATGTTCATTAAAAAATAATGTGCCTCATTAAAACCTTACTAGGAAAAACCTGTGGGAAAAAATCCTAGTGAAGGAAAAAGAGTACACATATTTAGTAATATGCATTGTTAGGTGCCTCATTAAAAACCTTATAAGAAAAACCCTGTGGAAAAACCCTTAGTAAGGGAAAAAGAGTACACCGCGTATTTTACTCCCCCTGAAGAAAATATTGTTTCAAATATTTGAGTCTCCGCATTCCAATCTTGTATACCATCTTCTCAAAAGTTGAATTTGAAGAGAATATTATCCATCACTATTTGAGATCGATTTAAATTAATCTCATCAAACCAAGAAGCTGCTACAAGTCATTTCATTGAGCTGCTTGCAACCTGCCTGCATCAGCTGCTTGTAGAAAACTTCAATGGAGTACTAAATGGAGGAAGATTATCTATAGCGGAGTAATAAATGAACATCCACAATAATATTTTCATAACACTCCCTCTTGGATGTTCATTATTATGTGCCTCGTTAAAACCTTACAAGGAAAAATCCTAGTAAAGGAAAAAGAGTACACTATGTAGACATGTAATTTTTTACCCTTCCCGAGATTTTACACATTAATATTTAGTTTAGGTCTAATATCGATATTTTAACTAGTTTTGACTCTTTTACTTTATTTTACCACACAAAAATAAAAATTACAAAATATTTTCTTTTATTTAGCTAATTGATATTTTATCTAGTTACTCTTAGTTTATCTACCTTACATAAAATTCAAAAATACAAAAATAGTTTCACTTTATTTTCAAGAATATTAGTATTTTTGGTATGAATATTATTTTAATTTTGCGATGATTTAATCTAATCCCATTTTTTTTAGTATGATATTTGAAAAATACCAAAAATAGGTTTGTTTTAACGGTGAGTTTTATTTTAATAGTTACTTCTACTTAAGTAGGATTAATTAGTATATGGAGTAGTATTTTTAGTCTTGTTCAATGAGAAAGAATCAAATTTGCACTAAAACAATCCATTTCTTTAGGCCTATATTCGGATAGCCCAAGACTCATAACCCATTTGACCCATCTCCCCTCTAAATCCTAGCCACTTATCCAATTTAATCCTAGGGCTACCATTAATTCCAGACCGAAAAATGAAAACCCCAACTTCACAAACCCTAGGGATATCTTCAAAACACCCTTTCCTAACCATACAGTCGTCGCTCCTCTCAACCAGATCAGCCGCCCACCACCAAAAAAAAGGATCAGCAGCAAACACAAAAACCAAGTGACACACTTATTCCCTTATCTCTCGTCTTCCTCAATAGAAGCCATAGCCGTACACAATCAAAAGGAAAATCAATCTCCTCTAGTCTTCAATGGTATTTCAAATTCAAAAATTCATAAAGCATCCCTAATTTCTTCTTCTGGATTTCGATTTCAAAAAACAAGGTGAAGCTGGAATAGGAGTCCGATTATGGGAGTTGCTGTTGGAGTTTTGTTTCCGGTCGAGTTCCGATTCCAGTCCCGAATTAGTTTGTTTTTGTCTTGTTCATTTCCTGTTGCACGCTCAAATTTCGGCGTTGGAAATATGTTTGTATTCGCTTCTTCAGCTAATTAACTGAGAATTCAATCTAAGGTCTATCTCTTTCCCTTCTTTTTACTATTTTGTGTTCTGTGGTGATAGGTATGATGTTGGCCTTTTGATTCACCCAAGTCTTTTACTGCTTCGTGCCTTATTATTCATCGAGAAGGAATTTTTCATGTTAAATGGAGTTTATGTGGGTAATCTTTTGTCTAATCCATTTTGTTGCAATGAAGAACCTAATATTATTTTTTACAAGTTAATTCTTAAGTTTGGCAATAGATGGGTGGTAGGTAGTCATTCTCATTTTTTTTTTTGAATTAAAAGATACCCTTAGCAAACAAATGTTTGTAAGTTTAAATTTTTGTAAGTTGTCTTGTATTAGAATTTGAGTGTTCAAGAGTTTTTAACAGAATTTATTTTTATAGCTTTTATTTAGCTCATGTAGTAAGGTTCCTTTATATGTTAAACACATTTCCTCCTGTTCCTCCAATTAGTCCTAGGTCGCTTGAATTCAATGAGATTCTCCATAGAAAGTTTGTCGAAAGTTGTTAAAGTTTTGAGCCAGCGGCCAACATCATACTTTGATTCACTAATTTATTTCTTCATTAGTATTACATATTTATTTTATCTTCTTTTCTTAATGTGTTTTGATTTTCTTTGTTGGGTGCTGTATTTGTTCTGACTGATTACATCTTTAGCTTAGCTTTGTTATGGATGAGTATGAATGTGGGTTGTGGGAGGTGACGTTAAGTATGGAGAAGAAATTGAACCGGAAATGTTTATTTGTTTTGCTTTCCTTATTTCCTTACCCGCTAGGATCATACTAGGCCGTGAACACTCGGGTAGGCAATCGTAGGATCTTTTTCTATTTATATGCTTTTGGTTTCGAGGTGAGAGGTTGCCCCCTTTAGTTTATACTTAGGGGAATGCCCCATGGATTTTGTATATATTTTATTCAGGGGTATGCCCCGAAGTAAATGTAAATGGAGGTCGTGGCATCATCAGTGGAGGCATAGTATAGGCTAGTAGGACTTCTTTTATTTTGTTTTCTTTTATTAGGTGGGGACAACCTCGAGCCTCTTTGATTGTTTATTTTTGTTTTGTGTGTTTTTACCTCAATTTGAGTACCCTTTAAGGCCAACTTGATCATGTACGCAACCGTGATTTTCACGAGACTTGGGGAGTTCCTAACACCTTCTCCTCGAGTCAAATGAACCTCCTCACCCGATTCTCTGGTGCAAACTTTGTTTTGGAATCCAAAGTGTTTTAAAAGGAAAAATTATTTTAAAAAAACTGTGACCTGGCACACCGAAACAAATGTCAGGTGACGACTCTGAAAAATCCTTTAGAACACAATTTTGTCGCTTTCAATTTTGAAATCTTTTTGAGCTTTACAAATCCTTTTATATATTTTAAAAAAAGGGGTGTGACAGCTTTGGCGACTCTGCTGACAGCTTTGGCGACTCTGCTGGGGAATTGCAGGTTCGAGCTGATACTTGATCTTGTTGGCTTTTAGGATATTCAGTTGAGGTGTTTGTTTTCTTTATTTGCTTTATTTATTTGGTTTGTTTGTGTTTTTTTTCTGTTTTGTTGGTTATTTGTTTATCGCTTTTCCTTATGTGTTTATCACTTTATAATTGTCATCATTTGCATAACCATAGGTCTTCTTTGTGCAACAAGTCTTCCGGAGTACGTTTGAGTGTACACGGCCTTTTGTGAGTCACACGTGTCTTTAGGGGTGTGGTGTGGGAGCGTGGAGTGGGCGGACAGCTAGAGCAGTCACCATCGACCACGTGCCGCCTCGAATTGCCTTTTCTAATGAACCTCAAACTTAGGTCAGCCTTTAGGTCATGCTTATTTGCATCTTGTCATTTACACTTAGCAGGGCTCGGTCCCGGGCACCATGTCACTTTATAGGAGGCCTATCCAAATTAAGTCAAAACGGGCCCATAGCCCAAAAAGATATTTAATTATCTCTATGTGCTACATGCTGCATTCTTTAAGGGTAAAGGGGTCATGTGGTGGACCAATGATGGTTGAGGGTAAATGAGAAAGAAAAGAGGGTGAAGTATAAAGATGAAGCAAGTAGGGCTCAATCATACTTTTCTTTCACAACGTTTTTCAAGAAAAGACAAATAAAATGAAAAAAATCCAAAAAGATTTTGCACTTTCCCATCATTTTCCAAAACATATCAATCAAAAAAAAAGAGAAAAAGAAAATTCAAAAGATTTTACATGTTTCATCATTTTTCAAAAAAAAGACAAAAAATATGTTTTCTTTAAATCAGTATTTTTTTTAAATTCTATCCCATATCCAATCTTCCCGAACTACGCATACCCGATTGTCATCTTTCGAGGCGAGATACGTATGCAGCCCACATTGGATATTGTCTTCCTAGTAAGTCTTAGGTTCTTGGCTTTGCGGGGTCTTAGCCAAATCTTGCATGTCTAGCCACATTTGGCCACATCGGCCTTGTTGCAAAATAGGGCTATTTTGCGAAGTGGCTTGTTGAACCGTGTTTGGAGAGCCTAGAATCCACAATTAGCTGTCTCCTTACTTCAAGGCCCGTCCTTACTGAATTTACATGTCTAGACATTTTTGGCCACACCGGCTGTTCTTGCAAAATGAGGTCATTTTCGCAAAAGTGGTTCAGTGGCCCATGTCTTAGAGTCCTAAGTCCTCAACAAGGTATCCTCTATATTTAAGGTCCATTCTTGTTAAATCTGCACGCTTAGCCATTTTCGCAAGGCCATTTCTGCAAAGTAGGGTCATTTGTGCAAAGTATTCTTAGAGACCGTGATTCCAGAGAGTTTGGGGGTCATGTGGGTCTTTTTGAGATATTTCTCCGTTTCTTAGTGGTCACACTTGTTGAGTTTGCACTTCTAGCTACATTTAGGCCACGTAGGTTATTTTACAAAGATAGCCTCACTCGTGCCTTGCATGTGTCCAATAGGAGGTGCCATAGTGTCTTGAATCACTAACTCTATTTGGTCTTATTTTTCTCATTCAGGTATGAATCCATTTACCAGAGCTCGAGCATGACAGATATCCCAGGACCATTCCAGTCTGGACCGTTGCAGACATAAGTTGCTTGTGGAGACTTTTTATATTTCTGAGTCTGTTTTCATGTTTTCTTTTACTTTCTAATCCTGTCTAGTAGTGTTCAGTCCTTTAGTTGGTGTCAGAGTTTTTCGTAGTATAGTTGAGTTCGTCGAATCTTTTGTTATCGTATTTCCTATTTTGTATGTGAAAACCCAAAAAAATTTAAATAAAAAAATCCAAAAAGTTTTTTTAGTTTATTTTGTACATTACTTTTCCAGAACTACGCTTGGTATGATTCATGTGGAACATGATACGTAGGCAACCTACATAGGGTTCGATCAATTCATTTTTAAAATTAAAAAAAATGAAGTTGTGGGATGTGAAAATGAGTGGAAACTGCGGGATGCAAGAAAAGAGCGATAATCGGAAAGAAAAGAGAGGAAATGAATAAGAAAAGGCTAGGAGAGTAATATTGGGATGGTGCCAAGTGACCTTGTGACCCTTGAAGTCATTCTAGAACCGTTAATTGTTGCTAGGGGCATTGCACGCAAAGTGATATTTCAATCTGATAAATGCCCTAACGCTAACATGTTGGCTTTATTTTGCTCCTCTTTGGTACTTTAATTGTTATCATAACAGAAGGTGGTTAGTTTGTGGCATTCTAACGAGTCATCCGTACAACACAAGGTCAAAGAGCAAAGTACCATGGCTAGCAAAGACTTGGACACAGGTGTTGTTGATTCTTCTAAGAAGATTGTTGAATCAGAATCTGATTTGAAAGAAGAGGTCCTAAGGTTGAAAGAACAGATGGCCGAAATGTACCAAGCCTGGATTAGTGGACGTCTGATCGGGTCCGACCCTACACCTCTACAAAGTGGCAAGAGCGGTCGATGCAACTTTTACCCGAGAAGGTCGGGATCGAATCTACAGGGAGCCACAATAATGTTTGGAGTTGGATTTCTATCTAATCTAGCAATGCGTAGTGCTCTTGATTACACTTCTAATCATATTTGTTTGTTTGTTACTTCTAATTTTATGCTAATGATATGCGAAATTAAACTAAGTATGAATGCTTGTAAGGTTTTCTAAATGGTTAACGAGGCACTAGGGAAGTGACTTTCTCCTAGGTGAATACTTGACGGGTTCTAAAGCCTAAGGCAAAGCTGTTATGTTTGGGATCGCGATATAGCCAATGCACGACACTACTCACTATATACCTCTCGGTAGCTTGAGTGACTTTGCCTAATTAACTTTCTCAAGACCAATTGGGTGTCAAAATTATGCAAGAAATATAGGCTCAAGTCGGGTATTACTATCTCTAGATTTAACCCTTTAATTGGGGCTATCAATCTCTTGAATACGCCCAATTCCTTGTTGAACTGATTTTCCTAGACTCAAGCTCTGTTTCTCAAGAAGAGCCCAAGTCAAATAGGTACAAATTAGTGTTTGCAATCACTAATTCAACATGGATAACACAAATCAGTCCAAATATCAACCACCCATAAACATCTAAGCCTTAGAACAAAAGACCCATCAAATACCCACACTAGGGTTGAGCCACAACCCTAGCTAACGGGTCTAGCTACTCATAATAATGGAAGAAATCAGATATTTAGATGAAGAACAACCCATAAAATGTAATTACAAGTTAAGATTTGAAGATTCAATGTTAAACCAGCTATAAAATTACTCAAAATAGGCTAAAGCCACCGTTCACGTGCTCGGCTAAGATAAAGATGCCCTAAAAATATGAAAAAGAAGTATTTATACAAGGCCGAATTTTTTGGACAAAAATACCCCTGAGGAGGTACCATGGACCGCGGAAAATGTATCGTGGCCGGGGTGAGGCTTTTTGGCTTCACTTCTCATTCTCTGAATCTAGCCACCGCGAACCGCATAAAATGCACCGCGGCCGCGGTGGCTTCACCACAGACCGCAACAAATGGACTGCGGCCGCGGTGTCTTGAAACTTTCGAGATCCTGAGCTCTCTGAATCCCCTCTCTGCGGACCGCAACAAATGGATTGCGGCCGCGATGAGGCTACCACGGCCGCAAAGAATCTTCCGCGGACCGCACTGCTTAGAACCCTAGGAATACACCTCTCTGAACTTACCCGCCGCGGATCGCACTAAATGGACCGCGGCCACGGTGGGTCTGTTGCAGCTGCAATGGATATTATGCTGCACCAGTGCTTTTACTTGTTCTTGGTACTTGTGCAGGTTTTACTCCTTTTTGAGCTGGTTTTGACTTCTTGTCACTTTTTTTACCAAACCCTGCAAACAAGTACAACATGTAAGATTTTGGGACTATTTGTATACATTTTTAATCCAAAACTCAAGTAAAAAGGAGTATAAAATAAACTAGAATCCCTAGTTATCAACTCCCCCAAACTTATGCTTTTGCTTGTCCTCAAGCAAACAAAATAAGTCCCACCTCCTTAAGAATAAAATCAAGAAAATTCAGCTGACCTAAAGTGACCTCATCTAGCATCAATTGAGACTAACAAATGCCCTCAATTCAAATGAATCATTAACAACATTCAACCTTTTAAACACCATGGTTTTAGTGCGACACAAAAGCATCGAGAATTGACTCAACTCATCAAGGAAACTCTTTCTACCACTTTGGTCATTGTGGAACCCAAACTCATACTCCTCACTCTTCCTTAAGCAAGACCTCACTTTTAGATTGTAGCACTCAGAACGGGAATTGAGGAAAACACACTCATCTCTCTCAAAGAAAGGTCACAAATCCGCCTCTAAGTACCATAAGCTTGCCCCTTATATGAGTCACCACTATTGTAAGCTTCATTCAACTCAAGATCATATAGGGCTTTTGTGGGGGATACAATGAAGGCTTTTGGTTCAGGGTAGGAAATATTTGGTCTAAGTAGGTTTCATCTTCCCTTAAGCACTTCATTTGCTTCATTTTGGCACACATTCTCTTGACTTTTTGAGTCATTTACTTCTTTCTTAGGGGTCAGGGAGACACACTGTCACTCTTTCTTGTTCATTTCAAACCTCTTTCTCCTTGCTAAACTTTCCACACCTTTCATCTCTTTACTTTTATTGAATCCCTTCATTTCTTCTAGATTGTTCATTCTTTTTGGCTTTTTTGATTGATTGGCTTTTTTTCCTGCCTTTTCTTTTCTTCATTTTTGTACATTTTACCACTTTGTTGCATTTCTCGTCTCTCCCCCCAAACTTATGCTTTTGCCATGTGCTAAGGAAAGATTGGGTGCCAAGAGAGGGTCTTTTAGAACGGGTAAAGGCTTGTATCATGGTCTTTGAAAGAAAAAGGGCTATGGCTCAAAGGGGTTGACTAGGGATATTATCATTGGTAGGCTATGGATATTTTCAAGATAACATTCGGATCAAGGAGAGCCTATAATCACTTCTCAAGTCAAACTACACTTAGGATTTCGCCGAGACAAACATTCAGGGCAAGTTCTAGACTTAATGGCACGGGACTTGGACTTGCAATTCAAATTCTCACCACACAAGCTATAGGATTGCTAAAGAGACAGAGTCGGGGGCCCACAACAACCTTAGCTAAGATTTGAGCAACACAAATGGTCCCGAAAAACCACTTGATGATTATCGGCCAACATAAGGGTCTCAAGGTCACAACTATCACCATCCTATACACACCAATTTGTTTTTGACCATAAGATCAAAGGCAAATGTGTTAGGCCCAAGTGAAGCTTTGCCTGAGGCACTGTTACTCACTAGCTACTATTTACACAAAAACAAAAAGAAAACAGACTCAAACCCTTAAGAAGGTTGTCATGCCATCCATCATCGAGAAGAGCCACCCGGTTCACACAAATTCCACCTTTGGAAAGAACCGTGGCATTAAGAAAACCAAAGGCTTATTGCACGCAAAATTCAAAATAAGAAGCTACGAAAATGAAGTAAGAAGCTATGAAAGAAAATGCGGAAAGTAAAATGAATATGTACAATAGGGGATTTAGACGAATATACATAAGAGGGAATGAATATATACACCAGAAAGTAACTTTATATACAAACCAAAGTTGCAAAGTACAAAAAGTGAAATAAACTGGTAAAATTATGTACATACCAAAAGTGAAAATCGAAGCATAACAAAACGAAAATAGTATCATATTTACAACCAAATATCATCAAAATAGGGTTACCCCTTCAAATGAAAGCTAGCATCGTCCTCAATGCTAACTATCCAAAAATAGCTCAAGAAAAGATAGAGAGTAAAGAAAACTCCTTATTGGTCCTGGGTCTGCTGGGATAATGAGCCTGGGTCCCTGGGTCCTCTGACTGCTCGGAACCTGTGCCTGGATCCCTGTAACCTGTGCCTATAGTGGGACCTAAGGCTGATCTGAGACCTGGGATTGGCTAGAAGAACCTCCCTGCGGGTCCTCCAACTCAATGACTGCATCATCTACTCGGGGGATCACTCTCCTCGTCTTTGGTTCCCTCTCCAACTCCTATAACGACTCAGTCTGAGCTGCTGGAACTGGGTCATGCAATAGAAGCTCCAATGGCAAGTGATCAGCAGCCTTCATCTTCTCCACTTCTACCCTCAACTCCTTCACAGACTCCCTGGAGGCTCGAGTCTTTCTCAGCTTCTTTGTCTCCTTTGTCAGCTCTGTCAATGCCTTCCCATGAGCACCTACAGCCTCCAATATTGACTGCTGGTTCTCCAAGATCTTCTTCTGGTTGGCCAGAAGCTC